CTGGGATCAAGCCCTACATCAGGCTCCGTGCTCGGCGGGCAACCTGCTTCTCCCCCTCTCCTTCTGCTCCTCCCCACCACTCTCTCTCTCTCTCTCTCTCTCAAATAAATAAAATCTTTTTAAAAAATTTGAAATTTTATCTTATAAATATATTCACACAAGTGCACAAAAAACATACAGGAATGCATACTATACAACACTGTAAATAGGAAACAAAAAAGTCTATATACCCATTAATACAAGCCTGACAAAATACATGACTATTCATTTCAATACAAAGCACCAGTTTAAAACAACGAGGCAAATCTGAACAAACAAAAATGTCAACAGTATTGTCACCTGTATAAAAAAAAAAGATAGATATGCACATTGAAAAGCTATGGAATACTACAAACCAAATTTAACACTGACTACTCCAGGGAGTGAGGAAAAGTAAAATGGAGAAGAGAGTATGTGAGGAAAAAAGAACTTTTACTTTATATACTTGTACCCTGATGATTTATTCTTTTTTATACATTTTTTAACAATGCATAATTATACAATATTTACAAAAAGTAAATAATGAGGAAACTACCAAGATCTGAACATAAAACATCTTAGAATATTTTTCTAAATGATATTATCGAAGTAGAATTCATAGAGAAATTGAAATCCTCAGAGACTTCATTTCAGTTTATCTACTAATGACATTTTTCAGGCTCTTCTCAAATTTTATTCAAGCTGTGAGGGATATATGCCTTGATTACTTCTCCCAACAATCAATAACAATACCAAAAACTGGTTCACAGACAAAAGGCACACACAGTTAGCTTTTTGTAAGATAAACACTAAACACATGAAGAAAAAAAAAATAGGGGTGCCTGGGTGGCTCAGTCGGTTGAGCTTCCAACTTTTAGTGGGGAGTATGCTTGAGATTCTCTCCCTCTGCCCCTTCCCCTGCTGTGCATGCATGCACTGTCTCTCTCTCTAAAATCAGTAAATCTTAAAAAAAAAAAAAAAGATTAAAAAATACCTTAAGGGTTTTGGTGCTACTCTTATGTTGAATTATATGAAATTGCTACTAATCAATCATTCAACTTTGGTACAATGCTTTCCTGAGGAAGGATTTTACCCTTTATGTACTATTTGACCTTTGATGGCTCACTCATTAGCTGACAATCCCCACTGTGTAGAGAATTAATTTCTTCCTCACTACAGGATATGCTGAACCACAGGTCTCTTATGAAAAAACTCATAAAACATGTTTGGACATTTATTTCAGTAAGTCTACCATGATAATGAAGAAATTATAAAAAATATTCAAGCCATAAAGGGAAAATGTAAATTTTGGGTAAGTGAAACTATAGGTATACCTCAGATATACTGCAGATGCAGTTCTAAACCACCATACTAAAAGCAAGTTTACAATAAAGTAAGTCAGACTATTGAAGTTTTTGGTTTCCCAATGCACATAAAAGTTACGTTTATACTATACTGTGCTTTATTTTTTTTTTTAATTGTATTTATTTGACAGAGAGAGACACAGTGAGAGAGGGAACACAAGCAGAGGGGGTGGGAGAGGGAGAAGCAGGCTCCCTGCAGAGCAGGGAGCCTGATGCAGGGCTTGATCCCAGGACCCTGGGATCATGACCCGAGCTGAAGGCAGACGCTTAACAAGTGAGCCATCCAGGCGCCCCTATACTGTACTTTAGTAAGGGTGCAACATCGTTGTCTAAAAAACTAATGTATGTACCTTAATTTAAAAATACTTTATTGCTAAAAACCATCATTTAAGCTTTTAGTGAGTCATAATCCTTTTGCTGGTGGAAGGTCCTGTTTTGACGATGCTGGCTGCTGACTGATCAGGGGGTGGTTACTGAAGGATGGGGTAGCTATGGTAAGACAGACAGCAGTGAAGTTTGCCACATTAATTGACTCTTCCTTTCACAAACGACTTATCTGCAGCACGCAATGCTGTTTGGATATTTTATCTGCAGAACTTCTTTCAAAATTGGAGTCAATCCTCTCAAACTCTGCTGGGGCTTTATCAACTAAGTTTATGTAATATTCTAAATCCTTTGTTGTTATTTCAACAATCTTCACCATTTCAAGAAACCATTTTCTTTGCTCCTCCACAACAAGCAACTCCTTATCCAATCAACTTTTATGATGAGTTGCAGCAATTCAGTCATATGTTCAGGCTCCACTTCTCATTCTAGTTCTTTGCTATTTTTACCACATCTGCAGTTGCTTCCTCCACCAAAGTCTTTCTGAAGCCCTCAAAACCATCCAGGAGGGCTGGAATCAACTTCTTCCAAACACCTATTCGTGTTAATATTTTGACCTCTACCCATGGAATCACAAATGTTCTTACTGGCATCTTAGAATGGTGAATCCTTTCCAGAAGGTTTTCAGTGTACTTTGTCCAGATCAATCAGAGGAATCCCTACCTATGGCAGCTACAGTCTTACAAAATGTATTTCTTAAATAGTAAGACTTCAAAGTCAAAATTACTCCTTTATTCAGATGTTGTATAAACTGCAAAATAGATGTATTAGCAGGCATGAAAACGTACCTTGTACATCAGAACTCTTGGGTGACCAAGTACATTGTTCAATGAGCAGTAGTATTTTAAAAGGAATTTTTTAGTTCTGAGCAGGTTTGAACAGTGGGCTTAAAATATTCAGTAAACCATTTTGTAAACACAAGTGCTGTCATTCAGACTTTACTCTTCCATTTATAAAGCACAGGAGAGTAGATTTAGCATAATTCTTTAGGACCCTAGGATTTTCAGGACAGTAAATAAGGATTGGCTTCAACCTAAAGTCACCGGCTATATTAGACCCTAACAGGAGTCAGCCTGTCCTTGGAAGCTAGGCACTGACTTCTCCTCTCTAGCTATGAAAGTCCATCCAGATGGCATCTTCTTCCACTAGAAGACTGTTTCATTTACACTGAAAACCTACTGTTTAGTGTAGCTTCATAATGCTCTTAGCTAAATCTTCTGGATAACTTGCAGCAGCTTCTACATCAGCACTTGCTGCTTCACCTTGCACTTTGATGTTACAGTTTCTTTCCTTAAACCTCATGAACCAAACCTGTGTTAGCTTTAAACTTTTCTTCTGCAGCTTCCTCACCTCTCTCAGCCTTCACAGAATTGAAGAGAATTAGGTCCTTGCTCTGGATTAGGTTTTGGCTTAAGACAACACTGTGGTTGGTTTGATCTTCTATCCAGACCACTTAAAACTTTCTCCCTATCAGCAATAAGGCTGTTTCACTTTCTCATTATTCATGTGCTCACTGGAGTAGCACTTTTAATTTCCTTCAAGAACTTTTCCTTTGCCTTCACAAGTTGGCTATTTAGTGCAAGAGGCTTAGTTTTTGGCCCATCTCGGCTTTCAACATGCCTTCCTCACTAAGCTTAATCTAGTTTCTAGCTTTTGATTTAAAGTGAGATGTATATGACTCTTCCTTTCACTTGAGTATTTACAGGCCACTATAGGGTTATTAATTGGCCTAATATCAATATTGTTGTGTCTCAGGGGAGAGGGAGAGAGATGGGGAACAACCAGTGAATAAAGCAATTAGAACAAAACACAATATTTATTAAGTATGTCATCTTATACGGGCACAGTTCATGGTGCCCCAAAATAATTATAATAGTTACATCAAAGATCACTGATTTCAGATCATCATAACAAACATAATGAAAAAGTTTGAGATATTGCAAGAATTGCCAAAATGTGACAAAGAGACACAAAATTAGCAAATGCTGTTGGAAAAATGGCACCAAAAGACTTGCTCAAAGCAGGGTCACCACAAACCTTCAATTTGTAAAAAATGAAGTATCTGCAAAATGCAATGAAACAAGGAATGCCTATGAAACATACACAGGCTTATGGGATTTTTAAAGTAGATAGGGTAAAAAAGTCTTGGGGTAGGGGAATGAAAGGAATTGAAATACTTAAATATCCTCAAATTAATTCTAATTTACTTTCTTCTAGATTCTTAAAATATTTCTGCATTGCCTTTTTCTTCTATCAGCTCTCAGAGCGTTAATGTTAATTTTCATCATATAAACCATAATAACACAAATATACTGGGAAGGGGTGGGGTGGAATTGGGAAAACTAAATAATGAGCTACTACTCAACTACTACACTTAACTATGAAACTTAACTCATCTTTTTTTTTTTTTTTAAAGTAGGCTCCACGCCAACATGGAGCTTGAACTCACGACCCCCGAGATCAAGAGTTGCATGCTCTACCAATTGAGCCAGCTGGGTGCCTTGAAATTTAATTCATCTTAAAACTCTCCTCTTCCCTCTCGTAACTTGTCTTAAAAAGAAACCAACCAACCTCCAGACTCCATATCCCCCAGCCTTTTCTCCTTCACAGCCCAACTTCAATTTGCTTGTTCTTGCTCTATAATACGTTTATATTCACTATACAAACTACTCCAATCTTTTTCCATCATCTACATTCTACTAAACTTTCTCCTACCTTAGCAAGAAGTTTATCATTCAATCCAATGGCCATTTTGAGTCTTTTTCAATTGTTTAATCCAATGGATATTTGATCTTTTTGTGGAACATATGCTATTGACCACCTGGCCTTAAACCATTTCCTTTGTTTCCCTGACCACCACTCTATTGTAGTTTATACAGTTTATGTCTAAACCCTTCATAGGCATTATCCCTCCAAAAAGATCCCTTATAAGCTGGTATCCCAAGCCTCTCTGTCTTGAGTCAAGTTCACTTTAAAGAGAATTCATTTACTATTATAGCTTCACTTGCGCCAATTACTCATGAATTTCAAACCCAATGTCTCAACCGGTTCTCTTTTCTGAGCTCAAGACTTACCCATAAAACTGCTTGCTAGAAACAGGTTATCCAAGGGAAAATGGAATCTTCAACCAAATATAACAAAAACTAGTCTCACCTAACTGTGCCCCCAAACCTGTCCTACTCTACCGTTTACCGCAACGCGGGAGTCAGAAGAACCTACGTGTCAGAGGCTTACCTGTTCTGTAAAGGGTGTTTAATATAGTGTTCTGGGTTAGCAACCTCCTGATGAGACTCTGTTTTCTCTTCTTCTGTGGGCGGGGGATTAGGAGTAGGGGTGGTTTCCTAATGGAAAATAATAAAACATTATTTTAAATTTCTTAACATAACTATGATAGCAATACTCTAGATCAAATACTGCCAATATTCTTTTTTTAAGAAGATTATAAAAGCATTTCATAAAACAGACCACAGACCAAGCACTAATAAAAGCACGAGATCCTCCATTCTAGCATCTCTTCACTAAGAGCAAAAGGCTTCTCAATAAAAATACAGTCCATATACAGTTATCTGACACATTTTGTTATCAGAAAGATTGTTAGACACCACGCAACAAAGCTAAGAAAATCAGCTGTCTTTCCTAACATACCATTAAAGTACTATGTATGGTTTGGAGGGTGGGGGAAGTATGACTAAAGTTTGGAGAATAACAACTATATTACAATGACAAAAGAGAGCTTTATAAACTGATCAAGCCAGTACTACACAGGTCCTTCCCTTTTGTCACACTATAATATGGTAACTTAGAAGTTCAGCAACTTCTGTCATTTTCAAATGGCCCCAGGCAAAAAAGCTCAATGTTGGCTTGAACCTAAATCTTCTTCTAGGTTAGACATAATTAATATTATCATCTAAAAACGTCAGGAAAAGGGGCACCTGGGTGGCTCAGTCAGTTAAGCGTCTGCCTTTGGCTCAGGTCATGATCCCAGGGTACTGGGATGGAGCCCTACATCAGGCTCCCTGCTCAGCAGAGAGCCTGCTTCTCCCTCTGCCTGCCAGTACCCCTGCTTGCGCTCTCTTTCTCTGTCAAATAAATAAATAAAATCTTAAAAAAAAAATCCTTTAAAAATGTCAGGAAAAAAAGGAGCTTGGGGATTATCTGTGTTCTCCACATTGCTCCATGTAGCTTTTCACCCAATTATAAACTATTTCAACAAAACTGAATGCTAAGGAAAGGCACCAGAAGCTAAAACAAAAGCTGATTTTTTTTCAAAAAGGGCACCACAACAAGTCTGGGGATAAAGTGAACCAGCAAGTCAACAGAGATGTATGCTCACATTAACAGGATTATGCAAATCAGAGATGTGGGATCTAAAGGTATCCCAGTGGACAGGTAGTATTCATTTTACAAAATACATTTTTCTTAATAACATGACATGTCTAGGAGCTAATTTCTACTAGCCTATGAAGTCACTCATAACAGAGGCTATGCCTTGATTTTGCTCACAACTGTAATGGCAATGAGCAAAGTGCTATACTCAATAGGAACTTATTGTCTTGATTTCTTAAGTAATAAATGTAAATGTTTACAAAGCAATTAAGACTAAAACTTAGAGTAGTCAATGCCCTAAAAATCACCATTTTTTACTAGCATTTTTCTATCAATTTACATCATCATATAATTACAAAATGCCATTCCTTACCCCACTAGATTAAAATTAGTGATAGTTTTCAGACAGAGGCAGTCTCAATGTTCGGGACTAAGTGGGCCTAGGGAGACAGGGTACTAGAGAAAAGTGGGCTACAGAGGAGTAAGCCTCAAAAATCCATGTAAAAGTCCCTCAGAGGTCCTTGGCTAGTTGCTAAGCTGTGATGTTCAGAGTACAGCTCTGGGTAGTCTAGCAGAGAACAGCTGAGCCAAGACTTCAGAGGCTGTATACCATTAGGAAGACTGGGTCCAGACTCAGTCTTGCTCAGCAGGGAGCCGGCTTTTCCCTCTCCCTCTGCTTGCCGCTCCCCTTGCTTGTGCTCTCTCTCTCTTTCACTCTGTCAAATAAATAAAAAATCTTAAGATTTTATTTATTTATTCAGAGAGAGCAAGAATGAGAGACTACAAGCGGGGGTGGGGGGGAAGCGGAGGGAAAGGGAGAAGCAGGCTCCTCTCTAAGCAAGGAGCCCGATGCTGGGCTCAATTCCAGGACCCTGAGATCATGACCCGAGCTGAAGGCAGATGCTTAACCAACTAAGCCACCCAGGCGCCCCTACACAGAATCTTTTTTAAAGTCACTAATGATCAAGAGATTCACCTGTCCACAGGAAGACATCCAGACATGACCCAGGTAATGGAGTTAATAACTCTGATTACTACAGTAAAACAGCAAAGACATAATAACCAAGATTACTATAGTAAAATAGAGAAGATAGGGGAAAGGATGAAAAAAAAATGGGGAGTATTTGAAAAGAAAACAAATCTATTTTTAAAAAGAACTAAATAGACATAATTATGGAAGTGCCAAGTACAATGTCTGAAATTAAGAGTTCACTGAATGGGGGCACCAGGGTGGCCACAGTCGGTTAAGCGTCCAACTCTTTGATTCAGCTCAGGTCATGATCTCATGGTCATGAAATCAAGCCCCACATGGAGCTCCACACTCAGTGTGGAGTATGCCTGAGATTCTCTCTCCCTCTGCCCCTCCCCCTGCTCGTTCTCTCTAGCTCTCAAATAAATAAAGCTTAAAGAGTTCACTGAATGATTAACAACAAATTCAACTCTGCAGAGTGTGAGATTTGTGAACTCAAACATAGGTCAACAGAAGATATTCAAACAAATACAGAGAGAAAAATAGATGGTAAGAAACATTATGGAAGACAGTTAAAAAGTTCAAGGACAAGATGAGAGAACGGAACAGAAGCATACACAAACAATGACCAAAATTTACCAAATCTCATCAGAAACTCAAGTCACAGATTCAAAAAGCTCAAGGAAGGGCGCCTGGGTGGCTCAGTTGGTTAAGCGACTGCCTTCGGCTCAGGTCATGATCCTGGAGTCCCAGGATCGAGTCCCACATCGGGCTCCCTGCTCAGCAGGGAGTCTGCTTCTCCCTCTGACCCTCTTCCCTCTCGTGCTCTCTATCTCTCATTCTCTCTCTCTCAGATGAATAAATAAAATCTTTAAAAAAAAAAAAAAAAGCTCAAGGAACTCCAAGCAGTAAAATACAAACAAAACTATACCTGGGCATATCAGCTTCGAACTACTGAAAACCTTTTAAAGGAGTCACATTAAAAGCAGTTAGGAAAGGGGACACACACACACACACCCCATTCACAAGAATAAAATTAACAGCTAACTTCCCAACAGAAACTCTGGAAGCCATTAAGACAACAGAATTGACATCTCCACACTGAAAGAAAAATGGTCAACCTAGAATTCAGTGCCTAGGAAAAATATCCTTCAGAACTGGATAAATACACAGATGCACACAGAAAGACACAACCCCTTCTCCCCCAACACATACACACAGGTCCAGAATAAAGAGGAACAAACCACCAAAGGAAAAGTCTTCAGGCTAGAGGGGAAAAAAAGAGCCCAAGTAAGAACATGAAAATGCAAAAAAGAATAAAAAACACTGGAAAATGTAAATAGGTGGATCAATTTGTCAGACTATGAAGAGTTTAAAAGAACAATAATAATGATGCCTTATGGAGTTTAAAATAATAATGATGGTTCTAGCAAAGGATTAGGTATATATAAATTTGTAAGGCTAGGTGTATAGTACATTCTTCCTCCAGAAGTACTATAAATTCTCTTATTTATCTAAATTAAAAGACAAGTTAAAATTTACTCATAAGTTCCAAATCCTCAATACAAACCATACTTTCACATTTATTTAAACAGTTTATGTCAGCAGCACATAAAAACAATGAGTTAATTATAGTATGAATAATTATATGTTTCATGAGATCCAAAATATCACCTGCTAACTCACTATTTTACTTTCTTTTTGATTACTCGACTCTTTTCACAATTAGGAGAATGATGACTTAGATGGTATCAAAAATCTCTGGACACATAGGAACTAAAAGCAGGTAATAACTCAGGAAAAAGTATATTAAGTTCCTAGAATTTAAGTTTCTTTTGCTTTAAAAGTCCTACCTTATGTTTTAGTCTTTACATTAAGAATTTATAATTTTGAATTTTTCTTATAACTAAAATTAAAATAACTACAACTTTAAATAAATGTGTGTGGATGTATAAAAGTGAAAAACCTTTCAGTTTTCACTTTTAACATTATACAAATATGCTAGATGTTAAGACATACTCTAAAACACTCCGAAAAAAATATTAAACAATTATCTTTCAGTATTTAAAGCTTTTTTTTAAAGATTTTATTTATTTGAGAGACGAGCAAAAGAACACAAGCAGGGAAGGCAGCAAAGGGAGAGGGAGAAGCATGCTGACTGGGATCTCAATCCCACGACCCTGGGATCATGACCTGAGCCAAAGGCAGATGCTTAACCAACTGAGCCACCCAGGCACCCTCTCCCCTTTTTTTTTAAGATTATACAAAACTTTTTTTTTTAAATATAAGCAGTAGACTGACATTTATTTAGCCTTTTAAGTTACCATCTGCAGTTTTAATAGTCTCATGTTCAAATTTTTTTTAAAGATTTTATTTATTGAGAGAGGGAGCACACATGCCTGCGTGGAGGGGAGGGGCAGAGGGACAGAGAGCCTTAAACAGGGTTCACTCTCATGATCCTAAGATCACGACCTGAGCCAAAACCAAGAGTCAGACGATCAACCAACTGTGCCACCCAGGTGCCCCTCACGTTCAAATTTTTACCTTAAGAATTTCTCACACTCTTTTAATAAACAATGGTTTTAATAGCCATTTCTAAGATAGAATATAAAATACTCAAATACTCTACGAAAATACTCATGAACACGGCACAAACCAAATCTAATAAAAGTTAGAAATCACTTCATGATGGAATTTACTTATGAAAACATTATTAAAAACCACATATAAAAGGGCACATTAAAAAAGGAAAAGTCATATTTTCTTATTTAGGCCATATTTTGTTATGATCATCTACTTGTCTCACCAATTCATTCTTAATTAGCAGAAATTTAAACCAAAATCTAAACCAAAAATTTATTAATCATTCACCTTTTAAGTTGCTTGCAACTATATTATAAACTATTGCAAAGAAATAAAAAAACTTGAGACTGCTGAAACATGCCTGTTAATTTCTTTCAACTTATTATTTAGTTATAAAACCTCTCAACTTTGATTCAAATAATCAGATGTTTTTAAAAAACTTAGATAAAACAAAAGAAAAAA